ATACAAAGCTGAAACTTTGCATTGATATTCTCTGTGTATGTGCGAGCTAAAGATTTCAAGCTCACCTGCCGCGCACGCTTGTGCAGCGCGTACGACCACGTCAAATTTTGCGACTTGGTGCTATGCTAACTCGAAAACTTGTCGGGAAACAGTGGCTGAAATATTGTCTGAACGTTTGTCTCCCGCATAGGAAATAATATACCTAAAGTGAGTATCGATTTGCGCTTGCGCCATGACCTAGGGCACTTCAAAGATATCTGAAACGGAGTGAATATTTCGCTTGCCGGATAAGCTGCGAAGCTGAAAATTCGCTGAGATGTTCTACTTTCAAATGCGGTCTTAATTTTACTTGGAAGTGGAATTCCCTCCTAGTGGGCATGGGTAATACTTATCTTTACCGAAAAATCAGAAACGAGTGCGTTTTGTAGCGAACGACCGCCCTCATCCAAATATGTAAATAAACACTACTTCATTTGAATAGTTGCATTTTTTCACAGGCGAGGGCTTGAGCATTACTTCCACTTTTTAGTGGAACGGAAATTTGCATTTTCATTTGTTCAAAAAGCTACCATTTACTAAAAAAATGATCGAGCTTCATGCGAACCCAGGCTGGAACGCACCAGACGACCCGGTGTGATCATGCGTTTTTGCACCAGACCTGAAATAATTAGGTTAACTGCATGAGTTGTTGTTTCTTTGCACCTATCTTGTGCTCTCAATACCGTAACTCACCGTAAATTTTGCATAAAAAATAAACAATATCCGTTTAGCGGTCATTTTTATGCGTTTTTGCTGTGCATCGCTATAGCGCTGCTACAGCCAGCAAAAGCGCATATTGTCGAGAGGCTGTCTGTGTGTGTGTGTTTGTGTGTGTGTGTGTGTGTGTGTGTGTGTGTGTGTGCGCGCGCAATGCGAGTGCATTTTGTCACCCACTTTCAACTCGGCAACCAGGAAAGCTGGGGGGCTGAAACTACGGGTATATGTTCCAACCCCGTGTGTCATCCTCCCGTTTTAAGATCTTTCCCCGTACGCGCCTAAACCCCGCGCATGAGACCC